CACTGTTTTCGACATTATTGCGTTATCTCCGATGCCATTATTTCTGGACTATCCAGTTACTTAATGGGTTCCTTTAATATCCGTCGTTTCAGTCAGAACACAGGACGTTAAGGGCATGCTTGTGCTGTCGCCTCGAGCGGCTTAATCCACGAAGGTGTCTGTGATGTTCGGACTGTTGACATTTGGCATATCTCTTTCACAGCTTACTTTTATTTTTGTGATTTTTTATTTTTATATCACCCACTCTGGTCGGTAGACGCACGATCTTATTTTGAGCGGACAACTGTTTTCTACCAAGTTTTGAATCACGTTCCTAAAGAAAACCCAGGCGGCGTTTGGGTTAGACACATGCACAGGGTTCCATTCTATCTCAGTCAGGTGTTCTTTAGATAGATATATAGATAATTTTTATTAAAGACCCGTCGGGGTCCCATCAAAGCAAGTTAAAATAAATTAACATGCGAGTTTTAGACGACGTAGGCCGAATCTTTACAAAATGCAATTCATAGTTTCTGAATTAGAAGTCCATTGAGAAACATGATGGTTGAGGGGTGAAAAAAAACTCCTTACAAAAAGTTAAAAATGATTGGACTGATTTTACAGGAGAAAAAAAACCCTCGCTAAAAAATAATAACAGAAAAAAAGCGAGCAGGACTGGCCTGTAGGTGGCAGTATATAACGGAATGTTGTCGGTCATCGTCAGGGTAGCAATAAATGTCGAATGTGGGTCAGACAGGACTGGCTTGCAAATGGCATTGTATACGGGATTCACAATTGAGATCGTCTGGGCCGGATTGGTACGCCGCGTCAGAAGAGGCCAGACGAGAGGAACCGAGATGCGATCGGCCACAGCACGCTTCGAGCTCAGCCGAGCAGTGAAGAAGGGAGGTACGACCGAACTACTGGCAGACAGTGAATACTGAGGGTTCCGCCGTGAGCGTCGACAGACCGCATGAGGTCGGAATGCGGGAGATGACATCAAAAGCCGCGAAAATTGTCGCTATGGGGGGGGGGAGTGATTTATTCATTTTGGAATGAATTCCTTCCCACACATTTCTCTCCCCTTCGGTTCGAACAACGTTTACAGAAAAATGACAGTGCGTCCAAACAAGAACGCATTGACAGCTTCGACCCCGGGCGCTTATTAGAAGTGGATTCACGGATATAGTTTTTATCCCTGAAATGATGAGATCCAAACAGCCTGAATGCTGTCCATTTCGGAATCGGGTGTCCATTGAAACATGCTGAGTAAGGAATTTGTCAGTGACCAGCTGAATTTCCTTCTGTTTGAATGAGTTTTCCGACCGCGTGCAGTGCACTGATTCCCAATCGATGTCTGGAGATTTAAAATACCCAAGTATTAATATGCGTTTGCTATGGTTCATTTGCTTTAACTCTATGATGAGTGCATCGCCCGTAACTTTCCGCTGTCCCGTGAGTCTGTGTGCCAGTGAAACATAGAGGTTCGGTTGGTTTGGTACTTCCAGTTTACAACAAAGGATTTCACAGCCAGTGTTCGATTTCGGTGCGGACCCATTCGTGACGTAGCTAATGCCACCCCGTATGAACATCACGATTCCCACACCCCTACGTCAACTTCGATCCATGAGAATAATCTGAAATCCGTCCGGCGTGACTTCTGCGTCTGATATTTTATCATTCCCTTATTAAAACGAATTGTTTATTGTTCGGTTCGGTTGTTACAGTAAACCGATGACCAACCTAAAAACCGGAGGAAAGCACTTGGTATAAAAGAAAGTTTTAACCTATGTCTAATGTCTACTGATCGCTCTAATGTGCAAGGAGTGGGGCGCGAGAGTTCCTGCTCGGCAGAAAGAATGACAGAGAGGTTGAGGCCGCGGCAGACTGAGGAAGAATTTAAGATATACTTCGCCGACGCTAAATATGAGAAGTAATTGCTGAAACGGTTCCTTGGGGCGTTCTGGTGGGATTTCCAATTGGGCTCTGTGAAAGGTCGATTAAAAGACAGCCACAATAAATCGTAAAACTTCCGTATTAACACACTCGCAGTAGGGTAATAGGCTAGCACCTTGCAATCGATGTCCATGCGACGTGATGCTTACACTATACTGCCGACAAAAATCTGGAAAACATGGAGAACTGAAGATTAGGAAACAAATTCAAAGGATGCCATTCCTTACATGTTACCTCACCTGAGGCTGAAGGCTGCCGAACCACTAGCGTTTCTAATTTGCTAGATGTTGATGCCGTATGCTGACCCATCGTCTACGATGCCCTTCCAATGCCGTCGGCCGGTCATATGGTGGCGGTCATGGGAAGTAGGTAGGGGGACTTAGAGGTAACATGACGTCTAAACAACGTCACAAAAACGGTCCACAATGAGTCGGGTGTCGAACGATCCGTCAGCATCAACCGAAACTGCAACTGAGCCCAACTGAGCACGACGGAATTATTCTGCGTTCCAATTGGGACAATTTCGACTTCATTACCATTCCACAGTTACAGTCTCTGACATGGATACTGGAACCGTACGTACAGAATTACTTTGTGCATTTTTGAAATATTTTTTAACGCATCGAAATTCGCCTGGAACCTGGATTAAGTGCAATTTGTTTATCAGCACGGTCCAACGGACAACGCAACTGGCTACGCAACCGATTCGCGGATATACAGCCTAGAAAACCAATCGCTCAAAATCCTTCAAGGTCTGCAGTTATTCAAGTCCCACGAGATCTGGAAAGGGCAAAGTAACTTCTGATTAAATTCAACAAAATTTATCGGATTTTAAGTATTTTTTCGCTTACTGAGTTTTGAATACTCACTTTAATTCATCATATATAAGCCGACGTATTCGTTATAACATCAAAAGCGAAATTATACCTATTATATCACGTCGAAGTTTATGGATTCTCAGCAAGCTAACAGTAATAGTACGGCCAGCGACGGCACCTCTTTAGAGGATAAGTCCGGTGAGTTGTCCTTCGCATTCAGAACCTGTGCTCCCTCTACCTTCGCCTCCAGCCACCGACCAGCAAAGCGTGCAAAAAGCGTAAATACCGCAAAAAGTGTGAGGTACGAAGACGAGCCTTGTGGTGGGTGCGCAGATATTCAAATCAAAGTAGAACAACCGGAAAAGGAGCTTGCTGCTTTAAGGACGCTCGTGAAACAGACCGTAGTCGGCCAGAACGTGTCCAGTGTTAGAATCCCAAAAACGAAGAGCAAAACGCAAAAAACGCGAAAAAATATCTCCTCGGGGGAATCTTCAAACACGAGTAGCAACTCAACAGCCAAAACGGCAGACGCCGGTAACAGCAGGACAATGAAAACGAAGCCGCCGATAAAGGGAGACTCGATTCCCACGCACGATGTCTTAAGCGATGTCGCAAAAAAATTACCTGTCGCGCAAGCCATCTCACCTAAGCCTCTTGCTGTAAGTGATGGGATTTCTGTTCTGCCTGGAGACGATATACCTGGGTCATCCAGTCTACTTTTGCCCTCTTGTTCTGGCAACCACCCCGAGCGCACTACATAGCACGTATCTGAATGCGAAGACATAAACCCGTGGGTAGAGGGGGGGGGAAACGCCATGACAGGATTCTGAAGTCACAGCCAGCCCTGATGGGTTGCTCGGGACGGTCGGTAGACAGTAAAAATGTGCGTCCAAGCGATGACTCCGTAAATCGTCCTCGCCCACATGCAGCGCATTCACTGGAAAGACAGAGTAAGGAGGACCATACTCGCCAGCAGTGTCTGGTTATTCAGGGTTTGTCAGAATCGAATGCAGTCAGACCTGAAGACCGTGTCTCAGAGGACCTTGCTTCTTTTTATTGTCTGCTAAATCATTTACTGCCGGCAGACATGGAAATAAAGGTTCTGAAAGCATTCCGGATAGGAAGAAGGAGTGAAGACAGAACAGTAGCACAACCACCCCGCAGTCTCAAAATTATGCTGGAGAACAAAGAGCAAATCAAGTTTATCCTCTCTAAAAAAAACCCGATCTCAGAAACACACACAAACAGGTTTTTTTCAACCGGACTATTCGCCAGCGGAACGGTTGAAACGCCGGGAACTTGTCTTGGAGTTAACATCAAGACTGAAGGATGGCGAACACAATCTGCCTATCTTCAAGGGGAAGGTTTTTCGGAAGTATATGCCGTTTCAGTGGAACCAACCTGTAATACTACGAACGACGACAGCTACTCAGCTAAAACAGACACCTTCGTTGAACCACCTGATCAAGGCGCCAACACAAGTGAGCCCGTAGCGTCCAGTGATCTGACTGAAACAAGGCATGTAAATGGAACCATTCAGGTAACGGAAGGGCCTAGAGAACACGACGTCCGCGATAACGGAGTAATGGTCACAGCAGTAACAAATGCAACGGGAAATTCGGCTGGTGCTAAACTGAGGTGCTTGTACACGAATGCACAAAGCAGCATATCGAAACTAGACGAATTAAAACTTTGCCTTGCTGAGCTGTCTCCAGATGTTTTAGTAGTAACTGAGACCTGGCTGTCCGGGAATATTAGCGATAACGAAGTAGCCTTGCCTGGATACCAAATTTATCGGAGGGACAGGGAACATCGTCAGGGTGGTGGTATCGTTGTGTATGTGAATGACGGTCTGGCAGTGTCGAATAACACCACCAAGTTTGCGTGCAATACGAAAAGCTATCTGGTTGACCATCAAGGCTACCGGTTCCCCGTGTCTCGATGTCCTCACTGTCTACCGACCACCTAGGACAGACCGAATCGCCGACACTCAACTATTGGAGCAGTTGGAGAAATTTTCCAGTCGACCTAACATCATGATCATGGGCGACTTCAACGCACCAGGAACAAACTGGAATACCCTCCAAGCGTCAGGTCCAAAATCGGCATTCGATTACCGCCTGTTGAGCAAAACATTAAATGCGTGCCTCACACAACATGTAATGTTCCCAACGAGAACACGTGAAGGACAAAGGGCAAACTGCCTGGATCTGGTGTTTACGAAAACACCAGACAGCATAGACGAAATCGCCTCCATGCCGCCCCTTGGCCGAAGTGACCACGTAGTGCTTATGTGGGATTATTCGTTATTCTCCATTTTACATACTCCAGACCACAAAAGGCGTAATGTTTGGCGGGGCGACTTCAATCAGATGAGGGCAGACCTATCCGGTCTTGACTGGGGCTCATTGTTTACGGGAAGTGCCAACGATGACTGTGAGCTGTTCAAGAACGTCCTTCTGCAGCTCATCAACAACCACTGCCCACCGACTAGTGTAAGACTGAACAAACGCCCTGGGTGGCTAAATAGCAACCTTAGGAAAGAAATCAACAGTAAGCACAAATTGTGGAGAAAATACTGCGTCACTAGACAAGCTGAATGCTTCAACACCTACAAGACACAGAGGAACAAACTGAGGAAGCTGATATTGCAGACGCGGCGGGAATTCGAGAAGAACTTGCTACAAAAAGCAACGCAGAACCCAAAATTGCTCTACAGCTACCTCCGACGAAGTACAAGGAACAGGCATCAAATCCCCTTGATAATCACTATTGATGACGTTGAGATCGCTGATAGTAGGGATAAAGCTGCGTACTTTTCACGGTTTTTCCAATCAGTCTACAAAAATGAGACAAGGTTCCTTCCTTCCTCCACAGAAGAACTGCCGACTCCAAGCGTCAGTGATATACTCTTCTCAGAAGGCATTGTCCGAAGAGAATTAGAGGCATTGAACGAATCGAAGTCGCCAGGACCAGACGAGATTCCATCCAAGCTTCTGAAGGAACTTTCCAGTGAGCTCTCTGTGCCTTTGTCGATGCTCTTTCAAACGTCATTTGACACTGGAACACTTCCTGTCGATTGGAAGCTGGCGCATATTACTCCGCTACACAAAGGAGGTAACAGGGCAGCGACGACAAATTACCGGCCCATAAGCTTGACATGCATTCTCTGCAAAGTTATGGAAAGGATCATAAAGACTGAACTGATTCAAGTCCTGGAAGTTCACGGCCTGCTATCGAACTGCCAACATGGGTTCCGAAAAGGAAGATCCTGCACGACAAACCTGCTGCAATCTCTCGAGAGCTGGACCCGAGCTCTCGACGACAGGCACGCGGTCCACATAGCCTTCATCGACTTCCAGAAAGCTTTCGACACTGTGCCACACCAAAAGCTCTTACATAAGCTGGAAAAAATAGGGATCGGTGGCAACTTCCTTAAATGGACCGAAAACTTCCTTGTGGGTCGACACCAGGTTGTGTGCATCGGTCGGGGAAAATCAGATGTGGCTATGGTCGATAGTGGTGTCTTCCAGGGTTCAGTACTGGGACCCATTTTGTTCCTTATCTACGTGTACGATGTCGCAAGAGATTTAGACTGTAAAGTGGCAATGTTTGCGGATGACATGAAGATATGGATTGTAATTCGGGGTCCTGCCGATGAAGACAGACTGCAGATGAACCTAAATCGGTTGGAGGAGTGGTCAAACCGTTGGCTCCTGCGGTTCAACGTTGCCAAATGTAGCATACTTCGCCTAGGCAACACAGCCAGATCCGCCAGCACAAGAGGCTACTTTCTGGGCGGTGCAGCCCTACAAGAGGTCGAAGCCCAAAGGGATCTCGGTGTGCTTACGACGAGTTCCCTAAAACCATCCGCCCACTGTTCGAGGGTGGCACATAGCGCAATGTCCGTACTGTACGCCATCAAGCGTGCGTTTATGGACTTTCACGAAGAAGTTTTCTTTTTCCTCTAAAGCAGTTTCTCCATCTGGTGTCGACCAAATCCCGCCACTATCTACAGCGGCCCCAGTTCCATCTAGCTCTTCGACTGATCACATTATCACAGAGACGGTTAAAACTAGCCTCTTTAAAACTCCCCCACGGAGCAAGGATTGTTCAAATGCGGCTCCCAAATTTATAAGGGAGCTTGATCTTAGCAGTAAAGATGAGCTAGTCCTTGAAGCACAACCGGCTCCCAGCACTCAGAATAGTGATTTGGTTAATAAACTGACATCGAATCCACCCCGTTCCCACGCCTGGCCACTCAGGTCTGACCTTGCAGTTAGGTCTAATAAGCTAGATGAGAGTTCAGGGAGGTCTTTACCTGTTCCTATCCTGAATTCTCAACTTACCGCCACAGTTGTGAAGCCCTCTTACACATCAGACTGCAAAATGCAAGTATATTGCATTGCTGATAAATTTTCCAATCCCGTTGCTAGCCTGACACCCCAAATAATAAAGCCCTTTCCTGATGTTAACTGTTTCCCGAAACCATTACGTCCGCCACCTAACATAAACTACCCCTCGTATCATGCTAACAATTCCCAAAATCCTATTTTCTTGTCTCCTATTTTTCCAACCCAACAAAATAGTTTTCCTCTTCCTGGGTCCTCCTCAAATGTTTTTCCACCTAATGCTGCATCTCTAACTAGTAATTACCCCATAAATTTTAGACCGCAGCAACTTTGTCCTCCACCAATTGCTCCGTTCCCTCAGCTTAATTTTCCACCTCCGGCTCTTCCTTTTTTATAAGTAGCAATAAGCGGAACCTACATATTAGGAATACGCTCAGTATTGTCTCTCTCAACGCAAGATCTGTCGTGCATAAGATTGCACACCTAAGAAGTGTAGCTGTTGAGTTTGACACAGACGTATTGTGCATTACTGAATCTTGGGCCCACTCTCTAATTTCAGATTCGGTACTTAACATAGATAGCCTTAGTTTATACCGCCAGGACCGTGCCGACAGACGCGGCGGTGGATGCCTTCTTTACATAAGACCATCACTTGCACAATCGCCTTATAACTTGAACATTTCCTCCTTCTCTGGAAATTTATGTTTTGCTTCGGTAATCCTTCCTCAAAATAGGAAAGCCTTAGTCGGATGTGTATATAATCCTCCTTGTTCCTCCGGTAATGAAAGCCAACTTTGCGAACTCTTTGAAAAAATTGCAGAAACTTCTTTCGATGTCAAGATAATCGTAGGCGATTTTAATTTGCCAGAAATTGACTGGCACACACATACTACTCCTCCTAAATTCCAGAAGCTGCTTGACACAATTTACTTTTCAAACCTGACTCAATTAGTTCACTCTTCGACCAGAAACGATAGTGTTTTAGACTTAATTTTTACTAATGGCACCTTCCCTTTATCTATGGATTTTTATCATGACCTCTTTGCAAGTGATCATGCATTAATTCATTGTCGCCTTCCAGTTGCCATTTCCGCAAAGCCAACAGTTCAACGTAGTATTTTTGACTTTGCTAATGTTAATAAGGATTTAGTAAATAACTTTACCTGCACTCTTGATTGGCACAATATTTTTTCAAATAATGATCTAAATTTTTTCAACAATTTATTACAATGCGTAACAGAAGGTCTTCTTGACCTTATTCCTCGGAAGATGTTCAAACCGAGTGCTAATTCCACCGCTATCCCACACTTTCTTAAAAATAGACTTAAAAAGTTACGGAAGCAGTTTAAAGATCCTTCTGTGAGTTCATCATCAGTTCATCTAAGAATCGTTGAAATATTTGAACTAGCTTCGAAAATAAGGCTCGAGCGAGATAGGCGTAGAGAGTCTTTGGCTATTAATGACGTGAATGCTTCTAAATCAGTTGCTCAGATCTTCCGTCAGAGATCATCTGCTAAGTCCCACCAAGTCATTCCGCCCTTGCTTAGTGCAAGTGATGCCTTCATTACAGAAGAGTCAGGCAAAGCAGAAATTTTAAATTCGTTCTTTGCCAATCATTTCACCATTGAAACTGATCCGATCCCTTTAATTGCTTCGTTGTCTGATGCTTCTCTTAGCTTCATTAATTTTTCTCCTGAATGTATTCAAAAACTGATAAGTCATCTTCCTAACTCTCACTCAGTAGGTACGGACAATATCCCAAACTCTTTGATAAAACAGCTTAGAGATTTTTCTCCTCTGCTTAGCAAAATCTTTTCAGTATTTCCCGTAAATGGCTTCTTCCCTGACTATTGCAAAACTTCTATTATTATTCCAGTATTTAAGTCTGGCTGTCGTTCTGACGTACAGAACTATCGAGGTGTCCATAAAACACCCTCTCTCGCGAAAATCTTTGAAAAAATTATCGCCATAAAAATTACCGAATTTTGCATAGCCAATCAAGTTATTAGCCCTTCCCAACATGGTTTTTTACCAGATCGCTCTTGTGAAACATGTCATCTGTCGTTTCTCGATCTACTTACCTCTCTTCGTAATGATCACCTATCTGTTGTCGTAATTTATTTGGTCTTAGTAAAGCCTTTGATAAAGTACCACATAAAAGACTCTTGGTTAAATTGGAAGCTATGGGAATTCGCAGTCCACTAATAGACTTTCTCAGGTCATACCTGTCTAATCGTAAACAAAAGGTTTTGGTGGGATCTTCACTTTCCAGTGAAAGTCCTATTGTGAGCGGTGTCCTACAAGGTACCGTTTTAGGTCCTCTTTTGTTCTTGCTTTACATAAATGATATTTCAGCAGCAGTTAAACATTCTCAATCATTTATTTATGCCGATGATCTCAAATGTGTATATTCGTTCAATAAATCTACGAGCCTTCATTGCCTGGAGCAAATCCATGCTGACTTGCTTGCTCTCTGAGCTTGGAGCTCAAAATGGCTAATGGAATTCTCACCGTTCAAATGTCCTTATATGTGTTTTGGACCTGATAGGCTACCCCAACCTGTGGTCTTTCAAGGAACACCTATGACTGAATGTACCACCATCAAGGATTTAGGTTTAAGCTACGCTAGTAATCTTGATCTCTCGCCGCACGCTGGCAGAATTACAGCCAAAGCTGCCCAGATTTGTGGCTTTATTTCTTACAATTTCTATCTTCCTGAAATTAAATTAAGGCTCTATCGTATGTTTGTACTTCCCATTCTCGAGTATTGTTGCCCATTCGTTGGTTTGATGAATGAAGCCAGTCGTTTAAAAATTGAAAATATCCAAAGACGTTTTTCAAAAAAACTTTTAGATAGGGAACATCCCAATATCTCCTACTCAGATAGGTGCCAACTAACTAACCTAAAATTTTTATGGGTTCGAAGACTAGAATCGGGCTTCTGTCTCCTCTTTCGCATTAATCATAGTTCAAATTTTCCTCGGATTTCAGCACTTACCCCTAGTAGTCGCCCATACAATCTTCGCAAATCGTCTCTAATTATACCTCCTCCAGCGTCCTCCACCTCTAAGCGCTCCCTTTTTTTCGCTTCCAGGTATACTTTCCTCTGGAATAACCTTCCAATAAATATAAGATCTTCAGAAAATCTACACACCTTTAAGAGAAGGCTACGCCTTTATCTCAATACTGACTCGATTAAACTTTTATTTTCCTCATCCTTCCCAGACAAGTTTTTCTATGACACTGAGAAAGGGCCACCGGGAATTTAGCATGCCGCTATTAAATTTCCGTATCTGTTCACGTTTCCTTTCTTTATGAGTAGTCTCGCTACCTAAGATCCCTCACTAGAAATGTTAATTATTCCAATTTTTCAGTTCATGCATCGTGCCCTCACAGAATGCACGCCATCGATGCTCTTGGCGAAGCCTTCTATATTAGCCATATACTAGTAATCTGGTCGCATCTCATTTGCCCTATCGTCGGATGGACTCTGATGAATGTAACAGACCGCATCTGGGTCCTTTTCGCCTCGAGACTGGTTGTCATCGTGCCCTTACAGAATGCGCTCCATCGGCGGTCTTGTCAAAGCCTTCTATATTCGCCATATACTAGTAGTTTGGTCGCATCTCCCTTCCCCCCATGTTCCCCCCATGTTCGGATGGACTCGGTTGAATGAAACTAACCGCATCTGGGTTCCTATCGGCTTGAGACTGGTTTTCAATTTCGGCACTTATTTTTCTTATTCAAGGCGATACAGGCCAGTCCTGACCGACCCGCCTACGTACCATTTTATGAAATCCGTTACACAATGCCATATACAGCTGACATCTATTTCGGCCATGTTGATGTCGGGCTTTATTCCATTTTGTACCGCCACATGCAGGCCAGTCCTCCCTTTTTTCTGATGATATTTTTCTGAGGGTTTTTTTTTTCTCCTGTTAAATTACTGCAATCATTTTAAATTTTGCTTTAGAGTTTTTTTTCACCCCTCGTTTTTTTTTCATTTTCATTTTGCTTAACGGACTTCTAATCTCAAAAACTATGCATTGCACTTTGTGCAGATTTTGCCTACATCGTCTAAAATTTGCAGGTAAATTTATTTTTATTTTTATTTTGCTTTGATGGGACCCCGACGGGTCTTTATTAAAAATAATTGAATTGAATTAAGACATTCGGAACATTCGTCCGGCCGCATTTAGAGTACGGCATACAAGCTTGGAGTCCGTGGGCTGTTGTGGATCAAAACTACCTCGAAAAAGTCCAGAGGAGAGCCACGATAATGGTTAGGGGTCAAAGCACCTTTCCTTATGCAACCCGCCTAGTAAATCTGAACCTCTTTCCTTTGAGTTACAGGCAACTTCGCGGAAATCTCTTGCAAGCCTTCCGCATTGTAAAGGGGTTGGATTGCAGTCTGGCCTTCGAGGACTTTTTTGACTTTGCTACCACGACCAACCTCCGAGGTCACCCGTTAAAACTGCGCACTCAGCAGGCACGGCTGGATGTGCGGAAGTTCTCCTTCTCGGTTCGGGTGGTCAAACCATGGAATGGGCTTCCCGCAGATATTGTGATGTCACCATCTATACAAAGTTTTAAGAAGAATCTGGACATATTTATGTTCC